CTAAGTCACACCACACATTGTTCTATTCTAATAGAGTTGTTGAACGTGCCACATCTCCTTTAGGAAAAGTGCATTCAGATGTTTGTGGTCCATTCCCTGTGACTAGCCTTACTGATTGCCGATACTTTGTGATCTTTATCGATGACTTCTCCCGATTCACGTTCACCTACCCAATAAAGAACCGTAGTGAGCTATACGAATGCTACGAGACTTTCAGGAGGAAAGCCCTGAACATATTCCGACGAGACGAACTATTTTGTAACAGGTACGAGCACTGCTATTGGACGGAAAACTCCCAAAGCAACTCTGGGCAGAGTGTGTCTGTCATGTAACCACGTTGATCAATATGACACCTAGCTCCAAGACAGTGAAACGCACTCCATATGAAATGTGGTACAACAGACTACCATCCATGCAGTACATGAAAGTGTTTGGATGCAGTGCGTACGTTCACGTTCCTGATCAATACCGAGACAAACTCGATGCCAGAGATAGACTGTGTATGTACCTTGGCGTTTCGGATCACAAGAAAGGATACCGTCTGATGGAACTCAACTCACATGCTATTGTCTACAGCAGGGATGCAGTCTTTAAAGAGGATGAAGTTCCCTCTCTTGCCAACTTGACGTCCACCACTTCGGAACCAACCCAGGATACGCAGACGGAACAGCCTGCACCACCTCCAGTATCTGATATTGCAACGTCTGCACCTGCAATGGTCACACCCACAACGCCTACACCTGTGAGACTATCACTCAGCGCAAACTTCCATCATTCAGGGAGGCGCTCGATGATGATAATGTGGTACACTATTCATTTAGAACAGAGGCGAGACTAGATCCTCCATTTCCTCCTGCACCTAAGCGACCCCGCCTCATACACGGCACGGATGTAACCTTCAATTCTGAAGAAGATTTACAGGAACAGGAAGAGCGCAAACAATTACTGTACACTTTACTAGCGATTCGGTATGTGTCAGAACCCACTACGTATCGAGACGCCATGCGGACTTCTCATGCTAACCAGTGACACAAAGCAGCAAATTCGGAATACAAGTCCCTCATGGACAACAAAACATGGGTCCTCCTAACGGACGAAAACTCCTCACAAGCCGATGGGTTTTTGTAGTAAAGTACAGCGGCACAGGAGATATTGACCGCTTCAAAGCGCGTCTGGTGATTAAAGGTTTTTTCCAGGAATATGACATTGACTACAATGAAATCTTCTCCCCAGTCATTCGGATGGAAGTCCTCCGACTCCTCCTTACGATCGCAGACTTACTCGATCTAGAAATCCATCAGATGGATGTCAAAACAGCATTTCTGAATGGCTTCTTGGAGGAGGAGATCTACATATCTCAACCGGAAGGTTTCAAAATCCCGGGTAAGGAACACCTAGTGTGCAAACTTCTTAAAAGCCTTTACGGGTTGAAACAAGCCCCACGTGTTTGGTATCAGACACTGTCTGCCTTCCTCGAGAGTCTTAGGTTTCACAAGCTCATCAAAGACCGCTGCGTTTTCTGTCGCACACGCGTCAATGTCACTTGCTACATCGCAGTGTATGTTGATGACCTTCTCATTATTGCACCAACACCGGCCCTTGTTCGCGAGCCGAAATCAGCCCTAAAGAACAGGTTCTCCATGACAGATTTAG